TCACTCAATATCTGCAAATAATGCTCACATCCCCTAAGCCTACATGGGCTAATTTACTGTATTTTGGTTCCAAAATAGTTCACCTTAATAATCAGTAACCTCGTCATTGAGGTGATAATAAAATGTTTGTGTGAAGACCAGATTGTTTTATGATTGTGATTAGAGCTATAAATCGAGTTAAGTAGCTCAACATGCGTATTTCGAAATGCGGTGATATCTATGATTGAGGGATTATCTCTGCCCGGCTCTCAACATGGCGACGGCTAGAAGCTTTTTTCCACACATTTTGAAGATGCAATCGAGAAAATAATCCTAATCTTAATCAGTAATGAAAATGATTGTTAGTTGTAGCCCCATTTTTTCTCAGCTATATTTGGAATCCGAGGTTGTGATAGCTCATGGTGTATGGAATGAAGGAGGCTGCAGACAGTGAAATAAATGTGCACCGTTGTATTGGACAGGACAGGGCAAGCACATGTGAATGAGAGTGTTGAAAGCGGGAAATCACACACACACACACACACACACACAGAGTCCTGGGGACCCCTCCTGTTCCTTCCCCCACCCCCGACGCCACCAGCACTATTTCCCGTCCCTCGCCTCCCTCGTTGAGAGCCGCTCCCTGTTTTCTGGACTGACTTCACAGCCCAGAGCAGCCTGGACTCAGAACCTCTACAACTCCACTGTTTAACACCTCACCTAAATATGCAAAGGCTTAAGAACACAGTGCACTGAAGCTCACACAAGACAGAGAAGCTCACTGCGCCACGCAACCGCCCGACTGAAACTCAAAAGCAGTCGGATCCTTCAGTCGACCTTCCGGCTACGGTTGTTTACGGGCGTTTCGTAGACTTCCATTTAGCTCGCTTTCTGAACCGAGTGTTTCAGCGGAGACAGACAGGCAGCAGGTTCACCTTGGGTGAAACCAATAGACTGAAGAACCACAAAAGCGCTATAAATACCCTGCTTGTCAGTATCTGTAACATCAAGCGGCACCAAACGGAGACACTGCGACAGCTTAAAAAAAAAAACCACCCTGTGATCTACTGAAGATGAATCCAGAGATCTCGGTGAACGGCAGCTGTTTGGCAAGAGAGCGCGGAGCGAACGGCAAACTACAAAAGCACTCGAGATGGGAGAACGATCCGACACGCAGACAAACAGCCACAAGAGATCCAATCACTTCCACACAGTACGAGACAGCCGCAGAGACGCATCGGCAGCAGCGTTCTGGTCAGTAAATGGCCTCGAGCAGCGAGGAGTGGTACCGCTCTCCCCCGCGTTGGAGTGCTGCACAAAGCCCATCTTGTCTGTACAGCGGGCCACTTGTCACCCTCTTGACACTTTGTGCACGCACACTGCGTTGGACAAGACTGACGGACAGATGTTGAATGATACACACTCATCTCGTCCGCGCTTTGCATTGTTTCCCGGACTCTTCATATAAATGGGCTCGGGTGACAGATGTGTCCACCACTGAGGAGGAGACTCGCACGGTCGCTTATAATTAGGCAGTGGTTGTTTAAGCTGCGTCTGCGATGATTAATCCAATGCACACTAAAATAACTTTAGTTTATTTTACTCATCATGCACACAATGTTTCACTCTCTGCTGTTGTAGGAAGTCCATACGTCTGGAATTTCATATTCTGATTGTTGTAAACGTCTCTCATTAAAAACTTTTCACTGAATTAATATCTTTATATTTACGGTAGTCATGTAAAACACTGATATGTCTCATCTGAGCTGAGTCTATTGTTGTGTCATATGTATTTTTGAAAAAGGTCACAAAGCGGCTAAATGATCGTATGTTTCTTTGGTGGTGTTGACATGGAACAGGACAGGAAGTCAGGAGGAACTTGAGAGTTTAAAAAGACGAAGACCGAAAGAGCTCTATTGTTGAGGATCAGTTGGGACCAGCTCTCAACAATACTTCCTTAAAGCTAAATCTCTTAAGCTTAGATGAACACAAATATAGACCTTGTACTTTTTTTGATGTCATAACAATGATCTAATGGTCTTACTGTGGAAAACTGAATTTAAAAAAAGACGGCACATCATGTTCCTGCTGTATATTGATTGTTCACTGTTTTGTCCTCTGAGTGCTCACTCACTGCAGCAGACGTACTGAACGACAAAGATGGACCCGACAACATTTAGCTTTATATTACAGCTTAAAGTTTACGCTGAAAGACTCCAACACGTGTGTGAATCTACATTTAAACTTAATGCAATCCAGAAATATATCAAATCATCCACTCTGTGTGTTGGAGTTGCCTCACTTCTATGTTTTAATGAAGACAAAGTCAGATTGCATGACATTACTGAAGTGATCATTAAGGACAGGTCTGTAAAGAAAAGCATTTTCATGATCGGGTATTTGCAACGTCCTATCTCGTTCGTTTGTTTGTTTGCCCGAATAAAATATGTTGGTACGTTTGTTATAAAGGCTATGCTTGTGCCAAGTAGATGTCCGATATAGGTTGCCTCACAACTATAATAATTAAGATATTTAGACAATAATGAAGTTTACAGAATGAACCAGAGACCATCTTGCGATGGGCTCACACCAGCCACGGCAATGGCAACACCAGCGTTGCTGTCGTGGCTGGTTACAATGAAAAGGTTGCAAGTAAACAGCCCGAGCATGCGGTTTCTCAACCGGACTTAAGTCACGTTTGGTCACATCAGTTCAAAATTCTTTAATTCATTAAATTCAAGATATATGCAGAGCAAAAAGTGAGAATGAATGAAGTCCTAAGAGGATATATCTTCTGTTTGATCTCAGACCAAAGTTTACTGATAGCAGGAGCTCATAAAGCCAGTGTTGCATGTCGTGCATGCATCACTATTATTCCAAAAACACTCATTCAGGTTGCATGAGGAGGCACAGCCAAGAGGAAGTGGGTCAGTGAAGGTAGACACACTCGTCACTGACGGAATAAACATTGTGTGTGTCTGCATGAAAGTCATATACTGTAAAAGAATATATCAAACCAGTGATTCAGAATCATTCATGTACCCAGACAAGCGCGCGCGCACACACACACACACACACACACACACACACACACACACACACACACACAAATATGCGCGCCCACATCTGCCTGGACAACAACAGCGACTTGTTTGCAAGTAACGTCAACTTCTGTCTCTCCACTCCTGATTTAGACTGGCATCGGAAACTGGCAGCAACTGTGGGACATCCCCTTCATTGTATGCCAGCTCCCTGACCCATGGCATGCCTGCCGGGGGTCTGAATGATTTGACGCAAGAACACACAAGAGGCAATGACTTGACATTAACCCCCCTTTTCCAGGATCTGCCCAGCCATCGAGATAGTTGCTCTCAGTCGCACCGAGGCCACTCTGACCGATTCTCTCCCTCCTGCTCACTTTGGCCTCTGAGGAAATTGGAAAATGGGCATCAGCAAGTGCATTAAATGGCAAGACTTGATGTTCCAATAACGGGATCGGTTGTATAATGTATTGATGTATCCGATAGATTGGAGCTCTGAGCGAAATGTTGGGAAAACACGATGACTGAAACATGAACTCGATTGAAACAAGAACAGAGGAAACGTCACAGGACTCATCATGAGATTCAGTGGTTCTCAGTTTTAGTTCTAAGGATTACTTTAAGCTTTTTACCACTTACCACGTGGTGCATTCAACTGATGCAATTAAGTTGTAACAGGATAACAAGACATAAACACACTGAACATGTCCAGGACTTAAAATCACTAAGATATAGTATAGGTCATTTAGATTTATTGAACTGGATCAGAAGGACCACATGCTGTGGAGCCTTTGGGTTTGGATGTCTAAGCAGTATGTATCAATATAAAGAGACACCGGAGAGGGTGCGATTAGTTAAAGCAGCTGCTTCCTGAGATATTCTGCAGTTTAACAAAATGTGTAAATCTGCACTGGGATCAGCTGATTATGCTTCTGTGAGATTGGAAAGTGGCCTCATCCTCTTGGTGATCCTCACACTGCGTGTGGTTCAAAACCTCAAGTATCATCCCCGCAGCATGGGCAGCTCAGCCGGGGCTTAAGAGAGACCTCCTCGTCTGCAGCGCCGTGCAGTCCGTTACAGAGACGAGGCAGGTCAGGGTAGACGGACAACACACACACACACACGCACACACACACACACACGCCGACTCTTACTGCCCGCTGGACTGAAATGCACAGATTTATTATTATTAGCCAATCAAACGGCGCTAACCCCGACTCGGCTGCCACGGTGAAGCAAGGCAGGCAGGTTGGATTTAAGATGCCAAGATTACGGCCCCACAGTCTAACCAATGCCAGTTTTTTTTTTGTATTGTGCAACTGGATTAAGACCACAGCACCTGGGCATGAAGACTAAAGGAGCTATGGCTTCTGTCCACAAGCTGTGGAGGTGATAAGGCGGAGAGGCAGCCAGCGATGGAAGGATGTGGCCCTGCAGAGCAGCCTCCATCGGGCTGGGTCCACCCAAGACTTCAGCGGAGCAAATGAGCACCTTGTATAAAGCCACACGACACAAAAAGCACAGCGAGGAATGTCCCCTGCATTTCATCCTGCCAGCGAGGCGCATTTTACATTATGGCTCCAAAAAACAAAAGGAGTACACATCCCCAACAAGCATGCATTTATTTCACACAAAAGAAAAATGCTGAATAAATACATAGTGTGTGCACGCAATGGAACGTCTGTACTCAGCCACTGCTGTTACAGAGCCTGAGAATAATTTATAGCAGGAAGTAGTCTCTTCTCTGTCTGGCCTGTTCATTTACATTGTAAAAAAAAAAGCCTGTTCTTCTGACTCGTTTAGGCTCTGTGCTGTTTGAAATGTGGAAAAACAGATTATATAAAAAGATATATCTAGTTTCTTCATTGTTATCATCATTTAAATGGCCAAATCTTTTACCTTTTTGGGGAAGATCAATGTCAACGGTCCTGTTTATACAGCGCTCTATATATAACTGTATATATATTTGTGTGTCTTTACCTGAGTCCTCGTCTAGATCCCCCTGTAGAGAGGAGTCCGTGTCCTCCGAGGAGGGCTGGCTCCTCCAGCTTATATTGCCCATCCAAGAGGCCTGAGTCCACACACAGCTACTAGTCCTGAGGTGATACTGATGGTTTTTGTGTACAGTGAGGACTTGCTGGTCAGGCTGGCATCTTCACACCAAATCTCTCAACAGCGCTGCTGAGAGTTAGTCACAGACTGACTGACCCCGCATGATCGGTCTCTCTTGAGTCAGACCCACTTCAGAGGAAACGTCCACAAATAGCAAACGGAGAGAAGGCAAGCGGGACTGAAAAAGTACTGTGCTTTTCCTGAGCCGGTTGTTTATCAAATAATGACTTTTTTGTAAATATGTCTGGAATCACATAATCCCCCTCACAGAGCGTCAGATAGAGGTGGCATCGGTGGTCCAACCCACAGTTATCTGGAGTGGCGGATGTACTGAAGAGTCACAAGGAACCGAGCGGGCCACCTGCGGGAATAAATGAGCCACTCTCTGGCACGAAGGCCGACACACAGCGGAGAAATCAAGCGAAGCATCGTCTTATAAAAGTCTCAAGAGCTCGGCACGCATGCAGGTAGAGAGACGAATACGACCCGTGATTGGAAGTCGTATCAAATCACACATGAGAGCTCAGAGAACTGGCGTCTTCAGCTCCACGGGGAGATGCTGAGGGCACAACGGCCGTGAAAACATTCATGCAGCGAAGACCTGATTGCCTTCACAGACACGGCCTTCCATCGCTCACTGATATCCTTGGTCTTCTCCCCCTTATTCTCTCTGCGCAGAGATTTGATTCCCATCAATGCTCTACCTTCCTCCTCCACCCTCTCTTTCGTTCTCTCCCTAAGCACTACTCCGTCCCTCTTTTGCTTTCCCATGCACAGCACACACACTAATTACAACACAGCTAAACCTATATGGGAACAGCAAGCCTCTCATTCTGTGGGAGAGGGAGGTTGAAATGCTTTCTGCCATCAAACCTCAAAATTGCAGCATATCAAACCCAAGAGCCAAAGCTCGCCCTGTGCAACAGTGGGATCACTCATCAGCGATGTGCGTGAACCTAATCATCCAGGGAAGACTTTTGTAATCACGGCTACATTAGCTCTTGCTCAGAGTTCTGGTGACTACAAGGCACGCGGGGCTATTTCCGTCCATCAGAAGAAGAACAAGATATGCAGTCTGAAGTGATGCAGTCACCACTTAGCAAACACCAAGCCATCACAATGAGTTACACTCCTGTGTTAACTCATTGTGATGCTTGAGAGTAAACATCAAGTATTACAGCTGAACCCTTTCAAAGACAAATACACAGATACACCCTCCTCCACTATGCAGGGGGGGGGCAGGGAGTCTAAAATAAGGAACTGATGGATCAGTTCCGCTGTGGCCGGCTACCACCACTGAAAGTCCAGCGAGAGAGGAGGCTATTAATAAAACATTGTGATACTCCCACGACTTTGTTACCAACATGCCAGAGCGGTGTCACAATCTCAGTCTCTGTGGTGAACTTTGGGACACACACGTTTTGCAACTGCAGAATAATCGCAATAATACAAACAAAGTCTCAATTAAGCCTTGATTCTGTTACTTATGTGTTCATGAGGGTGTTTCTTGCAGTCACAATTTGATAGAAAAACAACACTAGCCTCCTACCAAGTGGCAAATGTGAGCACAACCTCCATGCATACCACACGGCTTTATGAATATCCCAAATAATAGGGCCACAGTAACTTTTTTTGCGACACAGTATGGAAGAGGGCACCAATCTGAGCTTCCATCTTCAGAATGAAACACATTTAATAGTGTTTAAAATAAACGCAGCGCAAATATTCTGGCGACAAGTTGCAGTCAAGCCATTACACTTTAGAATTATTCATGTTAATAAGGAGTTCATACGCAGGACACACAGCGTTGTCTCAGCAAAAAGACAAAGTCAAGTCACATCAGACGTGCATCTCCACTGTATGCTTCCACCGCGTTGTTTTCCTGAAGACTGGACTCAGGGTTTATTCTACGTCGTGAAGCTCGCCGTGTTTGCTTTACTTAAATTCTGTGTCACAGCATGTTTCAGGGGTGTTGCATTAAATGACTCACTGCGACTTATAACAGCAACAGTGGAATCATTCCAGGGTGTCTATTCAGGCAATTGAAAGCATTACGTTGGACAAAAACACATACTAAACAATGAGCTATTTTACTCATTTCAGGAAGCATTCACAAGCCACTGGCAGAAATACAAAGCCCGAGAGCCGAGCAGAGTCTGAACTTGGATAGCGGCTCGGGTGGGAGAGTCACGTACGGCAGGGCACGGTAGCTAAACAAAGTCTCTACACCAAGATATGGAACATCAGAGATAATGAGCAGAAAGTATTTGTCTTTCATATAGAATATACGGACACCCAACCCGTTTTACAGGCAGGTTTAAAACCTCAGGTTTGAGTACCTGTATTATTTTCTTTTTACAATCCAATTCACTTCACAGCCACTTTTTCCAAGTCCATTTAAACAAGTCCACCACAGTGCACCGAGTGTGAATTTACACAACAAAATGGGATGGCTTTGTCTGTCCCCCCGCCAGCTCCCTCAGCCTCTGGATCTGTTTATGGATTACAGTTTGGGCTGCCTGAGCGATGAGGTCATGTGGGTGCGTACACACAGAAGACTGGGGGTTCAGTGTTGAAACAGACACGAGAACCACCCATGTGATTCTCCAGGTGATGACATCCTAAACTAAGCTGCACACAAGTGGAAGTGAACAACAGTGTTTACGCCCCAAAGAGAGGACAAGTCGGTGACAGCAGGACCTCGGTCTCCATGGTGGCTCTGGTAGAAATGCCGGCCATAAGTCTCCTGCTGCTGGAGCTCGGTGTCCGTGTCACATTGATAGTCCTGCTTGCTCTGCGTCCTATGGTAACCATTTGCATCATACAACGCTAACTATTTAAACCTTAACCCATGACTATATCCATGTGCAGGAATCCCTACTTACAGGCTTGAACTTTATTTCACTTCATCCAAATCTTTTCCCTTTTTTTTTTTTTATGTGCTCCTCGAAGCACCAGGGAATTAATCTCCTTCTGTCGCGGTCTAAAACTGGTTCCCCTGTCTGTCGAGAGTCTCCACAGCCTAAGCCCACATAGACAACAGCCTCCTTTTAACACCATCTCTCTCTCTCTCTCTCTCTCTCTCTCTCTCTCTCTCTCT